AGTTCAGAACTCCAAAAACTCAATTGGGGTGTTTTTCTTGCATAGCAAAATATATGTTAATTTGTCAAATCCTAGTGACCCAAGAGATTGTGCATTTAAATTTTAATTTGCCAATATCTCTTGGCTTTTAAAATCCTTAATATTTTGGTAGTATAAAATTACTTTTATTGTGATTTTCAATTGATTTATTAGAATTATGCGTTATTAAATATGGCCTGATTTGTCGAGCTGCAAGTTAATGCCGTACCTACTTTGATTTTGTAATTACGAAAACGAATCATCGCGCCTCATAATGGTTTTCTACGAAACTCAAACCCGTTTCACGATATTAGCTATATTAATATTTTATTTAGCGCGTAATATAGGTGCCGCGCCCTGAAAGATTTATAGACGGACCTATGTTTAATGAAATAGCTTAAACACATACTGAAAAATAATAATAATTACCGAGGAAACTGTAATTATTATGCGTCTAGATAAAATGCACTTCTACTGGGTCATAAAATTAGTATGCTATCGCTTGGCAAAAGTGTATTTCAGCCGAAAGAACTCAGCGAAACCGTCTTGGCCCGGAGACGACATAAACGACTGTATCAGCACATGATTGGGGAAGTAATTGAAGGTCTCCGAGTCTATCATACGAAAGTCTGTCGCAGCCACTTATTACCTATACCAATTTTTTTATACTATCCGACATTACCGCGTCGCCGTGGTCGTGGTAAACGCTACCTATAAAACATAATAATATATAATATTATTACGTCTTAAATAACGCGAAGCGCCGAGGCACGAGATTCATTGGCGTGGAAAATCGCGATGACCAAAAAAAAAAAAACTGCACCGTACCCGACAATTGTGTGAAATTATAAATAAACACCGGTATAGGCGCACTGTTACTTTCCTATAAAATTAAACAAATAAAAAAATATATCAAACGCAACCACTGTCGGCGACCACGTTTTACACGCGTCGATGTTCCTAAGAAGTGCGCCAAGGCTTTATTTCATTTAGACACACTCGATTGAACGCTATTACAGATAATTACATATAGTTATACGGGCATTGCAGCTTAGGTGCTTTGGACGCTACCGTCAAATTAGCAATGGCTATGTACCGACGGCCGTTTAATTTTGCTCGCGTGCCGCCAAACAGTGTTAAACGCAGCAGTAATTATTTTTGAGCAGCTCGAAAAAACCATATTGTGACTTACGTGGTGGCCGAACGGTCAAAATAACATCATCTCAGAGTCTGTGATAAATCTGTGTCATTTATTTTATAAAAACAGTTGTAGGTACACTTATGTTCCTCGACTCGGGCACGCGGTGCGCGTACATGACCTTTAGGTCGGCCAGCGAAAGCCGTGGACTCCTAGTAATAATTTACTCTTCTTCTAATATTTTTTGTACCTTAACACCTTGAGACGCCCGTCATAACATATCTCGTTGTGTTCGAACGACCCATTACTTTTCTTTGTATGCCGCTTTCAAAATATTACTACTATACGCGGCTAAAAAGAATCACACGCCGAACAGCCGAAGTTTGATGATGTTATAGTGCTTAATCACCCTTAGACAATCATTACAACTAATTACAACAATCTATTGAAAAATTGTACAACCAACAAAAGCGTATAATATTGTTCCAAATAAATCAATTTTAAACACAAAAAGAAAAACGTAAAAACTCTAAATGTACAATGTACATAAATTATGAAAACGTTAATTTAAACTTGTTATCAATTTGATATGTTAATTCGAGATCCCATAGAGCTTTACTGTTTCATAAACCGTTATTCGACCAGCATGTTTGGTTTTGTACAATTCGGCAAAAGCGTTGTAATTGTAAAAAAAAAAATGTTGTATAGGTACTTTAATTTATAATCTTACAAATAACTAACTAAACATCGACTAGTATGTTAAATTAGATGGACGATAAGCACATTCGATTAGATTTTTTGATTAGATATTAGTTTGCAGATCATGTCGATTTTTTTAGCATAATGTGTTTGACAAGCAGTGATTTACAAACTGATCAGATAAGAATACTATTTATTGGTTGTACGACGTTACTGTTAAACTAAAGGTTACGCATTTGTGGCTAAATCATATTGTGTATTTTTTACGCGTGGCAAGCAATTTGTATAATATAACTACACTATTATTAGTATATAGTTGGAAATGCGAGATATCAATCGAAAACATTTTCTGGTGCAAGTGGTTTTAATATGACGAATGTAAATAATAAAAATACCAATATGTGTAGTGAATAATGTTAAAATTAAAATAAACAATTATAAATATTGTTATGTATTATAAGACAATGTATTGGTAAAGATAATTAGGTATATTGATGTTTGACGTGAGTAGTGCGTGCAAATAAAAATCCACATACTTTCTCCGGTAGGCCTTTAGAAAAATGGCAAAATGTAATTAATACTACCGGGAACGAAAATAAATTGTATGATTTTTGCGGTTTCCGTCCGTGCGGAGTAGTTACACTGCATACACTGTGTTACTGATGTTATGCAGTCCGTTATTGGCCGTTAACGTTTTTCGTCGACGACTTAAGTCCCGTTAGTGCGGTCACATGCGCCCAGTGGATTTCGTGTGTGCACTGCGGTATTGGCCCGATGGCTCTTCAAAATGTGAGAGTGCCGGAATGAAATTGGCTGTTAAAATTGTAAAAAAGTGAAACTTCCGGTACCTATATACGCCAAAAATCACATACGCAGTATACATATACACGCACTGCGGTCACTAACTCCCTTATCGAAAGTCCATTGATATTCACACGCATGCTTAGAAATAAAATGAAAAAAAAAAAAATTATGCTCGCGTACCGCCCGAAAAGTCATTAAATTACTATAATATATACTGTAGTGATTGTTATGCACGTTTCCTGAACGCAGCGCGGTAGGTTAGGTGCACACAGAGCTAAAAATTATTGTATTCGAGTGAGCACGGAACCGTACGCTTAGCTTGCGGTAAAAACTATTAAGTGAAAACGATAGTGTGATTTGATTATTATTGTGCTGTCTTATAATGTAATGTCATCGGTAAACACTCGATGATTCGGTGACTTGTGATTTGTGCATTTGCACAATAGCAGTGGCTCGTACAAAGACAATGTGTTTACTGGCGATCATTCAGTCAACGGGGAATCGCATGTTCTGTTGCTCGACCAACGTGTGTTTTCGCCGCACAACAAGAGGGGAATTTCAAAAGTTTTTTTTGATTGTTTATCTCTAGGCTACTTATGTTGTCTCTGTATATTGGTGATTAATAATATATGGTTTTTTTTGTTGTACTCCTTACACCGATCGCAATGGCTGAGGTTCTGCTTTAATCGATAGCCAATAATAATAATAATTAATATAGATTGCGGTTTTCAAGAATATACTCGAATAGTTTATTAGAAAAGTCTCGACAAACCACGGGGATTAGCTAACTGAAATCAAAATTTTGTAAACATAATTGGACAACGTAACAACTAATATTGGTTACTGTGTAAAGGTTGTGGAAACAACAATTCTAATGTACCGAATATATTATACTGATAATAAATTATTGAGAGAATTATTCAAATTAATGAGAATAAAATATAAACACGTACGTGTTCAGTATAAAATGTAAAATAAAAATAATTATTTTTAACTAATAGATAAATATGTTTATTAGCCCATTTTATCTACTTATATACAGATCTTGTTATACCAGTATTATGTAAAAATGAAAAAAATCATATTTTTCATTTATCTATATCTATTGTACACAATAACAATTAGTAATTAAAACAATATTGGTAACTATATAATTCGTGGTATAAAAACTTTTCGGTAGCTGGGAACGCTTCTGAGGTATAAATTTACTTTTAAATAATCTTTACTGCAATGGTCTTCCAATAAAATATACTGCGATTCTTAGAATAATAACTATGGTTTGCTTTTGGTTGTTAATATCCATAGGCTACAGACTATCTTTTCCGCGGTAGATCCCCTGGCTACCGGCCAAAGAAGAGGCAACTATTACTTACAGCTAAGTTATAGCCAACAAAAAATCGCAAGTCACGGGCAACACCATTTTAGCGAAGCTGTCCCGTTACTTACTTTTCACTAAAACAAAATGTTCAATTAATTTTGCTGTCGCCTCGAGCTCGTCTAAAAGGCTCAAGTCGAAATCATTGATGATGATTAAGCATTTAAACTTGACGATAATAGACGGGATAAGCGCATATTAAAACGGCCAAGTCAATCATTGGAAAACGTTTAAATATGGTAAATAGTACATGTTTTGGAACAATAGAGTAAGTTGTTTGATAAAAATAAAAACATGCTTTGTACCCTGATTGAAACAGCAAATAACGCACTATATAAATGGAGTTGTGCGTAACACGTTCAGAGGCTAACGCGGTAGATTGAAAATGTCTTAGTAGTTTTATTTTTAAGAGGCCAATTTAGGCACGGTAACTTTATAAATTAATATCAAGTCTGCAAAGTGGACTGCAATAGAAACCAAGTAAGTATTATTTACAACTCGGTGTACATAAAAGATGTGCAATCATCACAATCGACAACACAATGGGCAAGTTGTTATTAAAGTGACACGTGGGTACTTTTCGGCGGCAGTAAAGCGGAGGCTAGTTATTAAAAAAATAAATGCGCATTGTTGCCCTGAGAGTTTGCGAGCGTTCTTCATTATTTTTTCGGTCGTTTAATTTGCGTCCGGATTAATTTCGTTTTTGTGTACACGGCGGCGGCGGCGGCGGCATCGGGTAACGATAACGACAGTGTCCGGCGGCGGCCACGGGGTTCACCTCAAGTACGTTCACGGCCGAAGAAAGGAGAGACGAGACGGCAAGAAAGTCAAGACGTAAAACGGACGGGAGAAGAGGTAGGGGCAGAGCCGGGCGGATGTTGTGTCCGGTCCGCGCGCCGCAACTGGTTATGATAGTATACCGAACGGTTAAAAGCGAAAACCGGCGAACAGCCTCCTTTAAAAACGGCAGCCGCCCCGTTAGCTCTCTCATTAGACGTTTACATCTGCTCAGCACAACTACAACGCACCGTGCGTCAGTAGCAACAGTCCGCGAGTAATAACAACAAACAGTTTTCGATTTTTCGAGAAAAAAAACCAACAACGATTTTATTAAGTATAATGGGTGTTTCGTTAAAGTTCGGTTTAGTGTTGTCGGCGTGCGTGTGTCTGGCGTTAGCCGACCCGATCCCGGCCGCCCACCAACAGGAAGATGGATGTGCGAACAAGGACTCGATCGCGTGCGCGCAAATGCAACTCTTCAGGACCGTCCGGTCGTTCTTCGACCAAGACAAAGTGGAACTTTTGGGAGGCTTGTCTCTGGTCAAGAGCGAGAAGAAGGGCAGGTCCCTGACCGAGAACTCCGACGATGTCAACGCCATCGAAGGTGCCAAGGACGCTAACCAACGTGAAACCGCCCTCGAAGACTTCACCATGCACAAGGTAATGCGATTCTTCCAAGAACGGTCTTTGCACTGGAATCTTTCGCCAGTCGTCACCGAAGTCACCGAAACCGCCCGCAGCGTGGTCGACCAGATCCCACCTCAGATCAAGACCAAAATCTCCAACTTCATCGAAGAAGGTAAAAAATCGTCATTACTATTATTATAATATAGTTGGCCGTAAATTCGTTTTTCCCTTGCTATTTTTACGATTTTAGTGGAAAACTCAACTTAAAAATAATTGATTTTCTGGCCTTCAATTATAACATGTGTACACGTTATAATATATTAATTAATGACAATATATTTTTCAAAGAAATGTATGCGTGAGCAATAATCCTATATACATAAAAGCTTAAGCAAACATTTCAATGATCACATTGTTAAACAAATAGAAATATTGTCATTCGTCATTTCGTGTAAACTACTTGTATAATAAATAAATAATACCTATATTATAAGTTAGATAATTGGCATAGTGTATCTATCAAACCATGTCTAATGTCCTGTTATCTCGATATAGGCCGTGGCAAGAAGAAGAAGATGATGAAACATTTGTTGCCGTTGTTGATCGCTTTGAAAATGAAATTGGTTGCTTTCGCCGGTCTTGCTTACATTGTCATCGCCTTGATCGCCAAGAAGGCTTTGTTGGCCAGTTTAATCTCTCTGCTCGTTTCCGGATTCATCGGAATCAAGAAATTGTTGTCTCACCACCACCCTCACCATGAAGTGGTAAGTTATAATTCAAATCATTTGTAGTTCATCAAATAAGTATTCTTTTAAGACAAAATGACCCAATTTTCCAAAGGTCGTGATTAACGAGTATTAGCTTACGGTTAGTTGTAATTATTATTATACATAGAGCACACAAACAATGCTTCCTTATAATAAGGGTTGTGTGTTATGATAAGTCCTTTTATTTATTTCGTTTATGGGTTTGCTGAAAAATTATGCCAAGGGTTAAACGGGTTTTAGATCACGCTTTTTAAATGGACTCTATGGTTATTGTGATCGGACAGATTCTTAAGGTTTATAGCCTATACGGAATAGGTTTTTGATAGTTGGTGATTTTAAAATTAGGCTAAACCGGGATTTTTAGTGGTGGCTTATACTATATCTCATACTATGCCAATAAAAACATTCAAACAGTTGGCAGCCTAATTACTCCGACCGTCGAAGGTTCAAAAAATCTTCTCAGCTAATTACGGGCTTGTATAATTTTACCAAAACATATCACTTATCACATTATTTTTTATACCGTCATTGTTAACTAGGTGATTTAACAAATATAACAACCGAAAAACAAATTACACGGGAGAATGATAAACTATAATTCAATTTAAACGTGTTATAATATTATGTTACATAAGCTGAACTAAAAAACCTTAACATCTCGTTTAGTATAACTGTTTTTTTATGTTTTGGCAACAGCACCGTTTTAATATGTTTATATTAACTGACAATATAGACAAGCATAAGTTAGGAAACCATACAAACTCCTATGCAACATTTGGTCTTTGATAATTATACTTTTTTTTTTTAAATAATTAATTAACATAATTGTTTCAGATCGAATCCCACCACGGACACTCGAGTTACGGTGGTAGCCCAGCAGCTTACAGCGGATCCAGCTCCGGATGGGACAGCTACGGATCCGGTGGACATGACGCTCATGGATCTTACTCCAACAACGTTGCCCAGACAATGGCTTACGGTGCCCAGAAACCCGCTGCCAGATAGAGATGACGGTGAGCGATGTTTAATTTAACCTAGAACATCATATTACAACTACGGGTCGTATAGATTTAAAATGCATAAAAAATTGTAAAAAAAAATGGTCGGGTCTAAAAATAGGATTCACCGTCATTATAATGACTTTTTTTTTACGAGCCCACATCTATGGTCATGGTCGAGGATATTATCCAAAGAAGGTGTTTAATCATCGTCCGACCATAACCCGTCTGTATGGACATTTGAATGGTTCATTTTCTAGGTTAATGATGTTGTCGGCGGCGAGTTACGCGCCCGGACCCGATTAAAACCACCGCCGGTCATTATACATTCATCCGGTTGTTTATATGTATGTGTGTGTGTGTGTGTGTGTGGATATATAAAAATAAAATGGTAATAATATACGTTGTATGTGTGTGTGTTGTCCGCAATGGCGGCGGTGTTTAACGAATATAATATGGGCGTGCAATCGAACCGCTTTTCAGGGAGGCCCCTCGCACAAGGATCGTTCCCGGTGAAAGTCGGGCAAGTTCAAGGGGGACCGGGTGCGCCGGCCAGACGAGAGCCGATTTCGAATCGATATGTAATTTTTCCGGCCGAGAGAAAGCTGGTAAAAAAAATAAAAACAGGTTTTTGGGTTCAACCGCGATTTGGATTTCCTGAGGCCGAGAAACTCTTGCGAGAGTACCCCCCCGATCGAACTGGTTTCAAATAATAATAATAGTAATACTAACGTTCACTTGGCCGTCGCTGACCAACATATGGGAAACCTGTTTTCAACCAACACCCCCCGTACACGGGTGTCCGTTTATTCCGTGTGTCAAACAAACCGTTTAATAAACATATTTTTTTCATTATATACACGCACCGGCTTAAAAAAATATTATAACGTGTATTTGTTTTTGTTTTTTTTGTTGCAGACGTGAACGGCAAGCCGAATACTTGTATATACACCATTTGTGCATAGTCTTGCCTATCAAAACACAGCAAACACAACAGCAGCCACAAAAATGAAAAGCAAAACATTTATTTATTTATTTTTATTAAATTATTAATCCGAGCGGCGCACCACACTAGGCAGACACGCCGACGACAGAACAAACACATTCAACGTTCAATATCCGTCGACGGTCCGGCCGAGTGTAACTACGACATATGTAATATTTAGGGACATGCGACTGACTGTGACTATACTATATACTTTTACTGACGCGTTCAATTTGTTTTTAATTGATATAACTTATTGCACTTATTTATTTATATATATATATATATATATATATACAATAATATAAAACCGTAGGTTAACATTGACCGACAAACCCCTCCCCTCGTTGGATCGCGATATCCACTCGACTGACGCGCGTTGACTGTAAACGTATTTACCATTGTTTTCAGTAAATTAAATTAAAAAAAAAATACAATATTATAATATACTTTTTTGTTTATCATTACTTTATATACGTGACATAACATACACACATTGTTTTTTTTAAATATTTTTTATTTGATTGTGCCAAAGACAAACCAGTAGGACTCGACTGACTTTACACCACACTCGTTAGCAACAATCATGATGAGACTCGTGTGCAATCGTTTCGATTGCACTTTGACTACTCAAACACACATACTTACACTCACATACTACCTTTGACCCGACTCGAACGACAAACATGACAGAACTAACGACACGAACGACATAGTGTAACGTTGACATATTGACTAAACCGACTCGAACAAAAATCTGACCAACCGTAGTCGTATCGGATGACAACGCATTAATTTATTTTTTATTTATAAGTACATATAGATATATTTACTTCAGTAATTATTATATTTATTATATCATATGTGTATGTAAACCATATTAAAAAAAAAACAATATTTATACGTAATATTTTTCATGAATAAACGCATTTATACATGTTATTGCCAAAGATAAGGACAATACAAAAATTACTGAGAGTACTGTTTTTTTTCAATTATTTTTTATAATAATTTACTGTGTAAAACAAATAAACACCGAGGCTATATTTTAACCAACAGTCGTTCGTGTTATAGCCGTTTAACGACTATAATAATGTATTAGGTGTGATAATATTATTTTCGGTGACGACTAGGCCTTGTGATCTCATCGTTTGCCCGGTGTACGTCGACGTACCGAAATTGCCTACACGCGTTCCCGTTACGGGCTATAAGGTACATACAATGGTAAAATATTATGCTATAAATGACCAAGCACATTGGTATAGATAGAAAGAAAAAACTACCAACGTGATAAAACGTCCACCAGACAAGACCTGGCTATAGTACTTTCACTCCGGTACGTTGCGCTGGAGAAAAGAAAATAATATATAGGAAACGATTAGGCACTTAATCCGAATTTTATTGCCGGACAAACACATTCCGGTCGAACAGCGCGTGTTGTTGTTTCTGTGTGTGTGTGTGTAGGTAGTATTGTTATTATTAATTTTTTATTTTTTCAATTTCACCCGTAACGCACATACTCGGACAATAATGTAATGTAGTATAATAGTAATAATAAATGATGATGATGATGATAATAGTAACGCGCCATTGTATTTTTGCCGTCTAAAAACATTGTGATGAGTATGACTGCAACACACTCCAATAGTACCAATACCATATTATATTATTATTATAAGACACTTGTACAAACCAATTATTGTGTCGGATGTAAGACGTTTCTAACGCAACGTGTCGTCTCCTTTGACCGTCCGGGAAATTTACACGTCTCCGGCGACCACCAGCCGGTTTCCATGATAACGTGTTATGGGTTGCAATTTTTTATTGTTGCAAATTTTTCCCCGTCGATAACTCCGACTTCGACTTCTTTGTACATTTATAACATTGCATTTACCGGCCGACAGTGTGGGTATACGCAGGACAGCGATTGACCGACTATAAGGGAGCGGTCGAAAACGGTATGGAGAAATAAGAAATAATAATTAATAAACCCATCGCGGGCACCGTCAGTCCGAGAAAAACTTTCTAAGCGATAAATCACCGACTTGCGGTAGGTAGCGCCGAGGTTGTCGCGTTTTTAATTATTGACAATCGCAATTTGCTCTCCGTGTGAGGACATAAAAACTTTAAAAAAAAAAGAACGTTTCTATCGCCGGGAGAGAAGTTTTTTTTCTTTTTATTTACATTGGTAATGTTCTCATTATTATTGGAAACTCTCACAGCGAAAGGCGGTACGAAATATGAAACCAGAAGCAAAACAAAATAGAATAAAAACCCAATCGAGTAAATATTACATGTGTTTATTTGGAATTCCGGACACGTTTGGAACTCGGTACGTTTTCTATCGGCTAACTAACAGGATGACCACATTTAACTTACATGAAATTTCCAAACACCTAACGACGATTCTATTTAGGTAAATTAGAAAATATGTTTGGGATTCTTCGCCAATTCCGCGGGTGTGTGTCGCATCCGTGGGATGTGGTAGGTGTAGTGTAAGTGGTCGCCAGGAACGGGTATTCGATCTGGGCCACGTGTCGTGGTGTTAAGAGGTCAAGAAACTATATATTCTACGTCTGCAAATATAATATTAAATATATATATATATATATATATTTGATGTCATATAATATTATACTAAACGATAACCGTTAAAATATGGAAAGTTTATAAACGATTTACCCGCGGTCGGTTGTATTGATAAAACGATGGTACCTATATAGATAATAAATATATAAATAATATATCAATACACGTTGATGAAACACGGCAATGGGACATGTTTTCTTGCGGGCTATTGTCAGTGTGTAAGCAGAGTCTTGTCTTGTACTGCGTCTGCGGCACAACGTACTTTCTTCTGACTTTTACTGGAAAGTAAAAGGAACGCCAAAAATAGAAAAACTCGCCGTCTCCGGAGGTATGGCGTGCAGTTAATACATTATTTCCAAACGTATAAATTCTTATATTAAAGTCGTGGTTGAATTTTCAACCTTTCGTTGTATATTATTAATCTTAAAAGCGTATGACGAGTAAAAACAATAAATGTGTAGTTTTTTATAATTCTTATTGTAAACGATATTATCGACACACACACACCTACTAGATAATTAATAATGATAACATTTCGAGTACAAGAGAAGTGTAGTATAACCAAATCGTAAAAATACAGACTGATTGTTAAACCAAATATTTCACAGTTAATTAAATGTCTATTTATTTCGAAAAATAATACTTTATAGACTTTCCTACAGTGCAGTTCAAAGATAGGTATTATTTTCTAATTATGCTGCTGAGATTTGGGGCAGATATTTGATTTTATAATGTTTCTTCGGTAGCTTGAAAGTAATGTATAAATATATAGTAATACTTAGTACATATGTAGTAATATATATATAACTTTTATACTTGATTTTCTATTTAAAAAAATAATGTAAAAATATTGCAATAAACATTACACAATAATTTTCGGTAAAATATTTGATTCTTTTGTTGTTGTTAAATTTTTGTTGTGTGGAGTAGTGTTATTAAAATGTTTAACCGATAAATAGAGAAATTTAAAAAAAACCAGTTATCTAAATAATTTCAAGTTCTAGAATTACCGTTAGTTTATTTTATAGGACTTTCTTAGATATATTAAAAATATATTATAGCTGGTTTCGGCATAAAGTGATCTAAAGTTCTTAATTATCTGCATCGAAATCAACTTTACGCTCCCTTTCTTCTTAACTAGTTATAATATAATCTTTTTTTTTTTACTAAAACAACTTACTCGTTTAAGCGACTGTTGTAGTTACAATACATTTTTTAAAAAACAATACGCACTTTCATTAGTTTAAGGCCTGAACATTTTTTTTATAAAATAGTATGTGATATTTGTATATGTTCATATTTGTTAATACTTAATGCATATGTGTGAATCTAGCAAAAAGAAAAATGTTTATTATTGTTTTAGTTTTGATATTTATAAAATTAGTATTTGTTAATGTTTTATTCAAAGAGTTACTGCTAATATTTATTTTAAGCAAGTATACATTTTTATTTTATTATTTTCCGATAATTATGCAAGTTCAAACAATACTGTTATGTTAACTTCTTTTTATATTTGTTTATAAATTTAATTACAATTTTTTATTGTAAATACATTTAAACTAAGGCGTTAGCAACTTGATATCAAGTTGATCAGACCCGAATAAGAACTAGGAGTGTAATCTGGTGGAGCGTTTAGGTACAATACACAAGCATTGCGCTTTCGTTGTGTAGTAAATTATAAAATTGGTGCTTGTTAAGTTGCCTATATTAAATGCCGGCTTATTGTGTTGTATAATATGTAAAATTCAAAAAAACAAATTTGAGTTCTCAATTTATTTTAAACTTAATTTACTATTAACGCATTTAAAAAGAACACAGAAATAATTATCATAATTAGATAACCCAATTAAAATTGAGAGGCGGTCCCTTTTCTAACACATTAATTTTCTTTTAAGTCCACACATTTACAGACGTACAGCAGTTGGTAATAATCGCGTTTTCTTATGTTAATAAATTCGAAACAAGTTAATTTACAACCAATTAAATATCGGTTGCTTTACCTACGTATAATGTATGCATTTATATATATACTTATGTATAAATAAATGACTATTTTAATCTATCAAATATATTATGTAGGTGACTAAATAATAATAATATAAATATTTATCGGCCATATCCTGTCGGGCAGAAATATAGATATTTGAAGTGTGTAATGATTTAGATTAATCGAGGATAATATATTATGTTTTATGTGCCGAAATCCGCGTCGAAAACCGTTTAGGACGATATGCGCAATTAAAACCGAATATTAACAATAAAAAATTTAAAATAAGACATAATTTCCCATGCCAATAACATACGAGCTGTAAAATATAATACACAAATATTGTATTTGAGGTCGTATTAACTTCAATTCCGGTTTATAAAATCGATGCAATTTTAATAATCAAACGATGTGTTTAAATTGCGATATTTCTTCTAGTTCGACCCATTTGCTTGTAGAATGCCATTACCCCCGTTCTAAGTATTAATATAATAATAATAATTATTATTAGCGTACACCGGTGCGGCCGAGACGACGTCGTCTAACCGAGATCGCCCATTATAATTGCGTGCCGCTTTAATAGCCCAAGTATTTCTCGATACCGTATCGACGGCCAACAGGCTATCCGACATATCCGCCACGGTACTTTTTAAGGAAAAACGAATATCTATCAATTAATATTAGTGTCCATACTAGGTTGCGTGCCGCCAGTTAGATTATTCATCCGTTGTGGCGCTATTGATGCAAACGAAAAATTCTCCAAAGTAACACCAACGAGCCTTCACATGACGTATATTCATAGCCACGAAGACGTATTATAACACTCGAAACTTTGGATTTTAACGCTTGACGATTTTAAATGACTGTTTTAATTTGAAAATTTGTTTTTCTCCATAATTTGTTTTATTACAAAAAAATTAAATATTTGTAGTCTATAATGAATAATATTTAAGAGAAAATGATTTTTTTTTTTTACAGAATTGATTGTCAATCCATTGCTAAATATTGCTGTGTTTTTTTTTTTGCCGTTTCCCAAAATCACTATACAGCATTTCGTAGATGGGATCGGCCGTGTTCGATTACTCTGCCATCGATTCCCACGGGGCTGATGGGTACACGCCTACAGCTACACTATGTACTGTGTGCGGATAACATTATCATGACCGCGGCGATATCGGGTAACGCATAGCATTATACTTGGGCGATCTCGTATAACGGTGCGACCTTGTTAGTTAGTGTGTGTGTGTGTGTGGACCTAGCGCGCATGAACCAAGCACCCGGACGGTTCTTCTACGGGAAGACCGTATTAGCTGTAAGTCGCGGCTGTTGTACGCAGACGAGATGGCAAAAGGGAACCGGTTCCGGTCCGAAAACGGATACTTGGACGTGGTCGTGG